CTGTGCTGTGCAGACTCCTGACCCCGTCTGCTCGGGGCTGAGGCTGCCAGGGTCTCTCACACCAGCAAGGAGTGTGGACACGACCAGGGCTGTTTACTTAAGGCCCCAGCAGCTCTGGGCGGAGTCAGTCTCCTCCTATGTTGAGACCTCCTCTTGGGTACCGCTGTCTAGGATGTGGGGTGGCTGGATGTCTGCATCGTGTGATGTGAGGACACCGGGTGATGTGAGAGGTTTCCTCTCTAAAGTTTGAATCTGGCCCTGGCCGGGCAGCTCGGTCGGTTAGAGCATCCTCCAGATATGCCAACGTTGTGGGTTCAGCCCCCAGTTAGGACACAGGCAGGAAGTAACCAGTGAATGCATAAAGAAGTGGAACAACACATCTCAATCTGTCTCCCTCCCTCTAGCTCTCAAATTAATATTTAAAAAAAAATTTTTTTAATGGAATTTGAATGTCTTCTCTGGGAACCGGCACTCTCCTGCGAGTCACAGCTCCCACTCACCGTTGTCTTCTTATTCGTGTCCCTTTGTAGCCATTTGCCCGCCTAGCCCCTGAAGGCAATGTGTTTCCTGCCACTGGGAGTTCACCTCTCTGCAGCCTGGCCTGTGGCCGTTCTCACTTGACCAGATCATGACTCACGTGGACGAAGCAGCCCGCCGGCTGTCCAAGACCGGGACGAGCCTCTACGCAGTGCTGGAGCTCAAGAAGGGCGCCTCACCTGATGAAATCAAAAAGGCCTACAGGTTCAGACCTCAGCCTCTTATGAAGCCCTTTAACCCCCTTAGACCCATGTCTTTCTACTTTGCTCTCTGGCCCATTTAAAAAAAAACACACAAAACACTTTGGGGCTGGGTGGGGCCACCATCCTCTTCAGTGCGGCGTGGGAAGGAATTTAGACTCGGCCTGCCTGCCTCCATTCTTTGTACCACGTCTAATATCGGACAATTGAGGTGTTCCTTCGTCACTATCTAGAAACCTATCCCTGTCTTTCATCCTACCCCTCCCTCCCCAGCTACTCCCTATTCTCTTCCCACCCCCCTTCTGGATATTGCCTTGGTAGGAGACTGGCCTTGAAGTATCACCCAGACAAGAATCCAGGGAATGCTCAAGCAGCAGAAATATTCAAAGAGATCAACGCAGCCCACTCTGTACTGAGTGATGAAAAGAAGCGGAAAATCTACGACCGGCATGGCTCGTTGGGATTGTATTTATACGATCACTTTGGTGAAGACGGCGTCAGATACTATTTTATGATGAACAGTTGTTGGTTCAAGGTACACAAGTCTTCCTAGTGCAGTGATGGCGAACCTATGACACGCGTGTCAGAGGTGACACGCGAACTCATTTTTCTGGTTGATTTTTCTTTGTTAAATGGCATTTAAATATATAAAATAAATATCAAAAATATAAGTCTTTGTTTTACTTATGGTTGCACATATCAAAAAATTTCTATGTGTGACACGGCACCAGAGTTAAGTTAGGGTTTTTCAAAATGCTGACACGCCGAGCTCAAAAGGTTCGCCATCACTGTCCTAGTCCCTTAAGAATAAGGAAGAAAGGGTGACCCCCTCACCAAGGGCACCGCCCCTCCTCTCCGGGGACAAATGCTTTTTGTCTCATTTTCTGGGTGCTCGGAGGATGTGGGAGGGGAGCTGGAATGGCTATGTGGACTGAGGTCATCCTTCCCCACCTTTTAGACACTTGTCATCCTGTGTGTTCTGCTCACCTGTTGCTGCTGCTGCTGTTGCTGCTGCTTTTGCTGTGGGACACTAAAGCCGCCCCCGCCCGAGGACATAGCGAGGAGAAAATACGAGCAGAACGTCCAGACCCAGCCTGGGCAAGCGAGTGAGAACCACGGACAGGGACAAGGTCAGAGCTGGGTTAGGAACGGGAAGAGTGGTTGGGATGAAACTGTGAACCATAAATAGGAGAGTCTCAAGTCGGTATTGGGGCAAAGTGAAGAAAGGGGAGGGGAGACACTGGTTTTCTGAAGGGCTTATGCTACACGCTGACAGTTTGGATGTAACGCTGGCCTCTGGACAGGTACGCTAAGGAATGGTGGGAGTTAAGTTAAGAAATGGGTGGGAGGGTGTGCCTAGAAAAGGTAGTAGTTGAAGACAAGTTAGAAGATGTCGTCTATTCAAAAGGAAGATGAAGTGTCTGAGATGATCCCCACTCCAACTAGTTAAACTTCCAAGTGTGAGTTGACTGGAATCCACACCGGTGCCACCTAATGATGCTCATGTGTAACTGCAAGGCAACAGTTTTCTCACCAGTAGGCTGAAAAAATTGTTCCTGTTTACATATGTGTTTTTCAAATTCCATCATAGGAAAAAAAGCAACTTTTAGAAGATCGGAAGAAAATGATAGTGAAGATAATTAAAAGATGAAGAAGAGTGGGGTATGAAAACTGAAATGCAGCGATAACTAAAGGATAAGGAAAAAATATACAGCCCGGCTGGTGTGGCTCTGTGGTTGAGCGTCAGCCTATGAACCAGGAGGTCACGGTTCGATTCCTGGTCAAGGCACATGCCTGGGTTGCGGGCTCAATTCCCAGGGGGGAGGGGGGGGGGGGTGTAGGAGGCAGCCGATCAATGATTCTCTCTCATCATTGATGTTTCTATCTCTATCTCTCTCTCCCTCTCCCTCTCAGAAATCAATAAAAATAGATTTTTTAAAAAAAGAAAAGAATATACACTAATTTTAGATGTGTCTTTAATGGAAAGTTTATAGCCCTAAAGTATGAACTATAAGTGTTTATAGCTTGACCTATAGGGGGCTTGCTTTACAATCTGGGTGCTCATTCCTTCTAGTTAATAAGACGTCAACTTCTCTCCTTAGGTGCTGACCCAATGAAGGTGACGTCTGCTGCCCAGTCCACTGGACACATCGAAGAGAGGAGCAAGTAGCCCTGTCCTGACATTGACCCTGAATTGCCCCTCTTCTTGTAAGAATCCCAACTCGAGAAGCACTGATGGCGTCCATCCCAGTGAGGATGCAGTCTCTGCCCCTGACGGCGTCACTGACCCTCGCCATACAGGGCGCCCAGCGACTCTTCTTTCTTAGCTCCGCTCCCAATTTTAATGTTAGAGAGCAGGCACACACACCCCCAGCCCTACCCTTGAGAGATCTCAGGCGTTGGTGATAGACTTCTCCCCAGCATCCTTTTCCCCACGCCTCCTTTGGGATTTGAGCCCATGTCAGCTGGGTAGGGTCCCTGAGTCACTTGTGATATCTCCACCCAATCCTGAAAGCTGAGCAGAGTGGATCCAGTCCCAGAGCTGTGGGACCATTAATCCTCCTTTGTTGCAACTCTGCACCAAGGACTCTTAGCATCAGACTCATTCCTAAGCCAGAACCCCTTTCCGGGTGTGACCGGCCGCACCTTCTTCTGGTGTCCATACCCCTAGCATCACCAACCTCATTCCATGCCACCACGCGTCAGCCGAGGGACAGGACGAATGCGTTTGCGGCTCAGGGGTAGTTCTCCCGCTTGTGGGTTGTCCCTGGGCTGCAGCTGCCAGCATCGCCCCATCAGCATGGGCCCTGGGGTTGCCTGACGTTCTCAATCGGTGCCTGTTTGCCTCCGTTCTTTCACCACCTCTGATGCAGGCTGTTTTCAAAACAGAGGCATGAAACCCACGGTAGGGAAATGATTGTATGTTCACAGACCCTTTTCCCACTCGGGCCTCTTCACACAACCTGTTTGATATCCTCTCCCCAGCATTTATTTCCCGTCCACCAGGGTCAGAGTTTTGTACGTCCTCATACTTGTCTGTCCTGACTGGGAGAAGGGCTGAAGAATGTCAGTAAATAAAAGAGCTTTTGTCCAATTCCAGTGCATATGTGGGGCCCAAAAAGACCAGCTGTGCCTAGGGTGGAGAGAGAGGCCTGTGGAGACCGGTGCTCACGGCTGAGAGCCGTCGCCCTGGAGAGGGGCGCCCAGGACTCTGTGGAGCTGGGGCCGAGGCCTCCCGGGGCCGTGTGACCATGACTTTGTCAGCTCTAAAGTTTCCCTGGAGGCCGATTCCCCTGGTGCTCAAAATAGGTCCCTGGCACTCGGGTCCTTTCTGCCCAGCTCAGCTTCTCTCAATTTCCCAACAAATATCAAGTCCTTGGAGTGGCTCCAGTGATGTGTTCATGGGTCAGAACACCATCCTTTCTCGGGGGCAAGCTCATGAGGTTGTTCTAGGCCCTGGCACCACTGCCAGCTCTAGCCTCCAGAGCTTTTCCTAGGGCGATGTAAGAAAGTCTGGGGCAAGAACAAAAGTGGACCAGCCCTGGCCGACTCACTCAGTGGTTAGCGCATCGGCCCATGGTCTGAAGGATCCCGGGTCTGATTCCGGTCAGGCGCACGTACCTCAGTTGCAGGCTCAATCCCTGGCCCCGGTCAGGGCGTGTGCTCGAGGCAACCAATCGATGGGTCTCTCTCACATCAATGTTTCTCTCTCTGTGTCTCTCCCCTTCCCTTCCACTCTCTCTAAAAATCAATGGGGGGAAAAATATCCTCGGGCAAGGATTACAAAGTGGACCAGAAGTGTTGGACCAGAGCCTCTCTGGTCTCAGGTGCTGCTGTTCTGAATCGTGGGGCTCAGAGGAAGCAGGCCAGGGTTGCTGGCTAAGCCGGGGAGACAGGCATTCTCACCGGCTGTCAGTCGGTCTACCAAGATCAGCCCTCCCTCCCTGAGCCATGGGTGGTCCCTCTCCAGCAGGCCGACTGCCCGGCACTGCCCTGGAAGCAGGGCCCAAGCCAGAGCTGAGCGGGGCCCAGGGGCTCCCGGGGGCTTCTGAGTGAGAGCAAGTGCGCGCGGTACCTTTGCCGGCCCACCTCTCCCCATAAGCGGTGACGCTCACCCCTGCTCTTGCCCAAGAGTCACCCATTCCTGAGTGAGTCAGGGTCACTCGTTCGTTCGGTGACAGCTGTGGCTCGCCTTACAGGAGCTAAATTGGGAGCTGGAATGTCACACAGAGGCCCCTTGCTCCCCACCCCCACCTTAAAGTTAATCTGCTCTCTGGGGAGTGAGGGACACACAGTGCTGCCTGTAGAGTGAACAGGAGTCGTTTGGGGAAGAAAAGGAGAAATTTCCAGGGGCAATTGCTCAGGGAGTGAGGGCTGGAGAAAGCTGCCTGTGCGTGGCTGCGGCACAGAGCAAAGAGGAGAGAGAGGAGACGGGTCTGAAAACAGCTAAGGACGCGGCATATTGTCAGAGGAAGGGACCGGGGAGAGAGCAGCGCTAGTTCCGGAGGGAGCCTCGGAGGGAGCAGAAGAATCGGCAGACTGAGGGAGGGAGGAGGGGTCCAGAGGCAGCGAGGCAAGGCCAGGTCCGGGCCAAGGCCGAGGGCGGCACCATCACTGAGGGGATGAACTTCGCAGTGGGTTTCAAGCCGCTGCTAGGGGATGCACACAGCATGGACAGCCTGGAGAAGCAGCTCATCTGCCCCATCTGCCTGGAGATGTTCTCCAAGCCGGTGGTGATCCTGCCCTGCCAGCACAACCTGTGCCGCAAGTGCGCCAATGACGTCTTCCAGGTGGGCCCGGGCGGGCGGGGGCGGGGCCAGGTGAAGGGCGGACTAGTGGGAGACTTCTCATCAGAGCTGAGTCCCCCCCACCCCCAACTTCCCCGCAGGTGATGGGCAAAGTTCTCCATGGGACCGGACGGGTGGGGCTGTCCTGGCTGAAGGGCTGAAGAAGAGCCGGGGTTCTAGGAGACCCCAGAGTAAGCATGAGTCAGCAGCTGCTCTGCAGGCTGCGAGGTCAGCCTGTGCTCGGACAGCAGCTGGGACGGTGGTATCTACAGAGGAAAGAGGACCCCGCAGGAAGTAGGAGGGAGGTGGTCCTGCCCCAGGCTGCCCGAGTCTGTACTGGACTCTGCATTCCAGTTTGGAGTTTCAGATTTCGAGAACATTATGGACAACCTGGAGAAAACAGCATTGAGATCATGAAATATTACAAAATAAACCCCGTGAGAAAGGCCATGATGACAGGGAAACTACCGCAGAGCTCAGCGCATCCATGTGTGGGAGGCAGAATTAGACAGTGGGCAGGGGACTGGGAATTCTCCCCACTTGATAGAGTCAGGCCTGGGCCCTACTCCTGACTAGTCATCAAGGAGCCTGCTGGTCACAAAGGACTGAGGTGCCTTAAGAGAAGGCGGAGAACAAACTTTACTTCCCAGAAATGCAACCAGTTTGGGTTTATGTGTGGTCACGGGGCAAAGCAGACCTAATCAGATCCACAGATATCATTTTAGCTGCCGGTTCAAAAAGAAGAGCAGCATATACCAGGATGGTTTATAAATGGGCTTTCTTCCTTGCCCTGTGTCACTGGTATAGGTTCGGTCATCTACAAAATGGGGCAAAGTTCAGGAAGAGTGAGGGGAAGGGGACACACACACACACACACACACCCCTCTTGCTAATGAAGTGAAAACTCTGAATAGACAGAGCTGGCCTGCTTAGTATGCATGGCAGTGATAAGGGACCTCATGAACACACATTCTTCATCGGTACCAGAAATTATGAGGAAGTGTGTTGAACAGTGATTTTGAACTTAACCAAGAAAATGCTTCCCTTTGAAGCTCTTCGGGGCAGCATGTTTGGGGGGGAAGTAACGGGCTCCCTAAGCCAGGCCGTCCTCAGCTGGGGCCTGGGACCCACCCTTTGTCAGTTGTCTGCCACCTTCACTGATGCCCAGCCCCATAGCCTTTCCTGCCATCTTCCCATCGAGCCCCATGCCCATCTCCTCTCCCTCTATGAGTCTATTGGCTCCAGAGGATCTCAGAGCCAGTGATGTTCCCTCTCGGGGGGCCTAGACTGACGGTTAGGCCTCCCTACCTCAGGCGCCAAGTCACATACGAGAGGCTCTGCCTTGCCCACCTAGGTCTTTCCCTTGGTCTGGGGAAGTCTCTGAACATCTTTCAGATTGAGATGTCTAGGACGGAATGCCCAGAAGATTTTGCCTTCCCTTCTCATGAATTTAGAAGGAAACATCCTTTCATGAGAGCCTGAAATATGGGAAAGCAAATGGGAGTTTGGAAAGTGAAGCTAATGTTGTCTGTAAAAAGTGGTACGACTATTACAGCGATGCACGTAGTATCCTCAGGCAGAGGGACGCAGGCACAGGAGGCCAGGAGATGTTTGCGTGGCCTCCCTGTTCGAGGCAGTCCTCTGCATCCGGGCTTACCTGCTTTGATTCCTTGAGGCTCTGGAGCACTGGCCTGGGCCCCGAGACTCCTGGGGACGCTTTGGGCCCAACCCGGTGCAGGGTACTTGGGGGATGATGTGGTACTTAGGGCTTCGGGTGGTTCTGTGGATCTTTTCAAGTGCAGAGCCCCCTGGGCCTCCAAGCAGAGGAGGCTGAACAGCTTGTTTCTCGCTGCTTTATTTGGGCCGGCCTGGTGGGAGGCTGACCCAGTTCTTCGGCTGCACTTATGCATGTTCTTCTCAGTAGATCTCCCTCTGAAAGATGAGCATATTTAGTTTCTTCACACATTGCCTCCACATTTTGACAACTCTAGGCATAATCAGATTGTCTGTTTTCTAAGTATAGGGACAAGAATAGGACTTCTGATTTCTCTAGCTTCAAGCCACTTAGGAAAAATACCCTTAGAACATTGCCTAGAAAGTTAATAGAACTTATAAAAGTGATACAAGTATATTATATTACACACACACACACACTCACACATTTTTTAAACAGTATGGGAGTTTACATCATGAAAAGTGAATCTCCACCTTAGTGCTCCCTACTCCAGGTGGAGGTAGCCATTACCAGCGTTCTTGATGGTCTTCCAGAAAATTTCCATGGATAGGCCAACTGTGCGTGTGTGTGTGTGTGTGTGTGTGTGTGTGTGTATCTCTATATATAAAATCCTAATATGCAAGTGTCCGACCAAGCTGTTGACCAACTGGTCGCTATGATGTTCACTGACCACCAGGGGGCAGATGCTCCAACCAGTAGGTTAGCTTGCTGCTGGGGTCCGGCTGATTGGAACTGGGCAAGGCAGGCCAGACACACCCTGGAGCCCTCCTGCAGAGCCCTCCCATGGTCCCTCCCCAGCCACCAGCCCCAATCAGCCCCAATCAGAATTGGGCGAGATGGCCCTGATCAGCACCAATCGCCGGCCAGGCGGAGGGACCCCACCCGTGCACAAATTTCATGCACCGGGCCTCTAGTACACATATATTTAAACTAGACTCATTGTCCTACACCTGCCTTTGTGCACTTTTTCTGGCAGTTGTTCCATATCCACACATTCAGATTCATGTTTTCCTTCCCCCCCTCCTTTTCTTTCTTTCTTTTTTTTTTTTTTTACAGAGAGGAAGGGAGAGGGATAGAGAGTTAGAAACATCGATGAGAGAGAAACATCAACCAGCTGCCTCCTGCACACTCCCCACTAGGGATGTGCCCGCAACCAAGGTACATGCCCTTGACTGGAATCGAACCTGGGACCCTTCAGTTTGCAGGCCAACGCTCTATCCACTGAGCCAAACCGGTTAGGGCCCCCGCTCCTTTTCAAATGGCTGTATGATGTTCCATTGTTATGACTGGACCACAGTCTACAAGGTGTCCTCAAAAAATGTATATTCAGCCCTAGCAGGTTTGGCTCAGTGAATAGAGCATCAGCCTGTGGACTGAAGAGTCCAGGGTTTGATTCTGGTCAGGGGCACATGCCCGGGTTTCGAGCTCAATCCCCAGTAGGGGGCATGCAGGAGTTAGTCAATAAATGATTCCTTCTCATCATTGATGTTTCTATCTCTCCCTTTCTCTCTGAAATCAATTTAAAAAATATATAAAATGTATATTCACTTAACAGCTGATAGCCCAATTGATGCTTCTAGTGAAAGAAGCATCAGATTTAACCCATTGAAATTAATAATTATTCAAAGTGTATATACATTTTTGGGGACACCCTGTATTTAATCAGTCCTCTAAAACATTTAGACAGTGTTCAGTGTTTTGCTGTTCTAAAAACTGCTGTGATGGACAACAAACAGGAATTTTAGAGAATTGTGATTTTATAACAGCAGGTAAAACTAAAGCCAGAAAAACATATTTGAAAAGTTAAAAGTTTCATTGAAAATGTGCGATAGTATTGAGGGTTTGGGAGGAAATCACCCATAATCCTACCTCCCCAACACCATTATTTTCATGTTTGCATATTACTTTCAAGCTCTTGACCCATATTTTTAAATAGTTTCATCATGGTTTAACTAGTTTTCATTAGAGCTGTAATCTCAATCTCTCTCTCTCCCTCTCTCTCTCTCTCTCTCTCTCTCTCTCTCTCAGTTTAAACATCATGAAACACCCAAACACCCTATTAGCCCCCTTTAATTTCTCCCTTCCTCTCTCCCCACCCTGTACCCACTCAGCTACCAAGCATTTTGACTAGAAGAAAGCTGTTGGTGTGGGCGTTTGACACAAACATCTTCCCATGTGTTTCTGATTTGTAAACTCGGTTTGCTCCTGAACTAGTTTAAAGCAAGCCTTCCGTTTATTTTTATTCCTGCCCCCGTCTTCGCTGTGGGCACTTGTTTATGAGCTGCAACCTGTTGTAATCGAACAGACAACCAGAAGGCCTTGTGAGAAGATGGTTCAGGAACAGCTTTTTGGAGGATGGCCATCTAGGGAGAAATGTACCGCGATGGGAATATCAAGACAGGAGCCTCCTTCTCTCATACAGGGCGGTCAGGGAAAGAGATGACCTCTGTGTTTTGTCACTCCTCCCCGAATTCCAGTTCTTTATGGGTTAATTGTTAAGACTTGTTATCAGGAACAGGCCTGCAGTGAAACCCTACACAGCCAGCCTGCTTCCACCTGCTACTGAGGGCTCCAGCCCAGCCCTGGGCCCCTCTCCTCTGTGAGAAATCGATTTGTTGACATTTTGTGAGTTGCAGTGACCTTGAAGCAGGGTAAAGATCTTACTGCCTTTAGGAAAGAAACTTGATTTAGGGAAACAAAAACCTAGACTGGAACGTAGCATCCTGGGATCTCCTCAAACCAGTTCCTTCCTTAACTTGCCAAGTGAGGTACATCAGGCTCTTTCACCTCTTCAAGCCTCTTACACACACACATGAAAGAGATTAGAAGGATGATTAAACTGATCTTTAACATCCTTGTAAATCTGACAATTTGATTTTACACGTTCAAGAATTATTACGGGTTTCATTTTTAAGACCTTCCCATTCCATTGCTAGTGTCTTACCTTGAGGCCCTCTTCTGCTTGGCCCCCTTCCGTTCAGCCAGGCTCCCTTCGCAGAACCCTGTGCTGGGCTCTTTGCTAGGCTCCGTCAGACAGAGCCAGCCCTCCGCTCCGAATCCTCTCCCACCCACAACTTAGCGTTTGTCAGCACCTGGGTTCTTCTCAGGCTCTTCGATTTGTCTCCAAATGCCTGGTTTCTTCCGTGTACTCCAGGGCGGGCTCAGAGGACCGGCCTGGCCCACTATTAGTCACTGGGGGAGAATGGCTCCAACACCTCCCACCTCGCATGGTGGGCCAGTATCCCAAATCAGCATCACTCTGGGTAGC